TTACCAAAATAGATGGATAAGTTAATCAAAGGTCTGATTAAATAGCACAGCTATGCAGCATGAAGTTCTGATTGCCAGGTTTCAGTGCAGGCAGATTCTCTGAGGAGGGAAGAAATGGAGCTAAGTTCCAGAGGCCAGAGTTTACATGAGGAAGAGTTTTATTTACATTTCATATGTTGTCCCCTTACCCCATCCCCCACCCACCCAGGAACCCCAATCCCCTCACACCTCCTCCTTCTTCTTTGTGGATGTAACCTCTACCCCCCCACTCCCACCTCCCCACCCTCAAAACTCCCACCCCCTGGGGCGTCCAGTCTTCATGAGGTCAAGGACAGACCCTAAGAGGAAGAGTTTTATAAAGCACATTGGAGGGAATTACTTGCTGAGATCTCTAATTTTAATGTGATAGCTATCTGGAAAGCTAATTCCCAGGGAAATTAGAGGTAGATTGGAGAAAAAAAACTGGAACCTTCCTCTGGCAGATTCTTGGTGTAGATGTGGGTGTGGGTGTGCATGCATTTGGAAGTCAGAAATTGATGTAAGGTTACTTCCACAATTGCTCTCCACCTTTTTCAGGAATGGTCTCTCTGAACCTAGAACTCACCAATTCAATTAGGCTGGTCAGTGAGGTCCAGGGAATCATTCATCTCAGTTCCTCCCTCTTCCCAGCATGGGGGTTACAGATTTGTATGGCTTTTTATGTGGATTATAATAATCCAAACTGAGGTCCTCCTGATTTCTCAGCAAACACTTTACTCACTGAGGAATCTTCTCAGCCTCTCCCCCAACAGATTCTTATAGCAGATTTATATCATACTTGTATGGGGAATGGTTGGAAGTATTGGACAGTCACTATTCTCATTGTCTTCCATTCACCTGACCCAACTTAACATTTTTCTTCTATGATCTGTGTAAGGTATTCTGCTGACCAGTGTTTTATTTCTGCCCACTATTAACACCATGGCTATACTCCTACTGGTAGGCATATATATCCAGGTCCTTCTCATCCTTTTTCCTTCTCTTGTGCCCATAAACTCTGCTTTATGTGCCCACTGGTTTGTCCTTTGTGATGCTTAATAGGTACTGGAAGGAGTAGAGAAGCTAGAGAATGAGATGGGTGTTGTCCAGATCCAGTCTTATGATTTGCCACAGGTAGGATGTTTCCCTCATTTGGAGGTTACTGCTGGATCAAAGGAGCCTAACACCATGTGGCTATCTTTTCTGGATCATAGCAACTGCTGGCCTGCCACTACATATTGCAAGGTGTGACCCTTCCCTTCTTGTTCCTTCAGTGCATAACAATGACTGCCTTTAATTCTTCAAACATTGCAAGGATTGGTTCTTTTGATAATAACCTTTTCAAGTTCCTAGTTTGAGTGTGACCTCTGTTTATACCTGTTTATACCTATGAAGTGAATTTTTAGAAGAAGGTATATTTTATCATTAAATATAAAAGATTAGAAGATTAGAGAAGAAGAAGAAGATTAGAGAAGCCAAGAATAACAATTAAATGATGATAATGGATCTTGAATGCAGGTGTAATTGATGCCAACAGGCAATGGATTTATGTTGTTATATATGCCAGGGTTTCTGACCCTTAACACAGTATATATGGAGAGACATAAAACTGAGGGGGGGGCTCTCTCAGTTACTAAATTGCTTGCTTTGTAAGCACTTGGACCTGTGCTACTTACTCAGAACCTATAACTGAAAACCCTGACAACTCAGACATCTTGGTGCTTCATTGAAATTTCAGTGCTGGATTTGATGGAGGGGGCATAGATCCTTGAACTTCAATGAAAAACCAGTGTCACCTAATTGGAAAAATCCAGGTTAAGTGATAATACTTGCCTCAAAAAACAAGATAAACAGTGCCTGAAGAATGATACCTGAGGTTGACCTCTGGCTTCCACAGAGGTGAAACTCTTTCCCACACACATAAACACACAGATAATATGTACACATACATCAAGTATAGCTCTGTAAGTACTTGGTCTGAGGAAACTGAATCAGAAAAAGGATGGAAATTTATAATTGCTGTGCATCCTTTGTGTGTCAGAAACTAACTTGGGCCCTCTTGTTTGTTTATTTTAGTGCTAGTCATCAAACCCAGGGTCTTTGGTATGCAGGACAAGTACTCTAACAGTGTAAGCCACCCTCTATCTCCTTTAATTTTGACATGAAGTTGGTACCATCTCCATTTTACAGATAAAGGAGCTTAGAGAGATTAAATATCTTATGTTTGTGGAATCCAACCTTGAATTCCTATGTTGGATTTTTTGGCTCATCCATAGTACCTCAGTAAAAGATGACAGATTATGAACACAGAGGGTGGTGCTTTCCCATGAAGTGGACACATGTTGTTGAGTTCCGGGAGTCTTCTTTTTTTTATGGCCATAGCTCTCGTGTTTCAAGCAGAGATCAGGGCAAACCTAAGAACCAAGAATATCAAGACTGATATTTTCATATACCCTACAAAGATTAATAATTTGTAGACAGAGTGGTGAGAGATGCAGTAGGTCCTAGACGCTCCAACAGGAGTGTTTTCTCATCCCTCTCTAGAGCATCCTTTACCCTCTTAATATGTGTGTGTATACACATTTATGCATTTATATAACACCAACTATGTATATGTATACACACAGAGAGACCTGCTTAGTCTGTATAATATTGCTTACACATATATGATTTTAGGTCTGACTTAGTATTAGATAGTCACTTGGGGTGAGTCCTGTGTTGTTGAGACTTCATGGGTGTGGCTTCCCGAGATTCTCATAGATGTAATCTCACTGCAGCGTTCCTCATCCTCTGGCTCTTACAATCTTTCCACAATGTATCCTCAGTTTTAGGTGCAGAAGTTGTGTTGTAGTTGTATCAGTTGGTGCTGGGCACCATGAAAATTACTTTCTCTATAGTTTGAAAAGTTCTGGTGTTCCATAATGATCTCCATTTGTTCAAAAAGTGACTGCTACACTTATCTGTGGTTATAAGGATAAGTATTTAGAATACAGTTAGGAATTTTGCTAGTTTGGAAGAGTAGGGGTTTTAAGTACTCTCCAAGAACCATGGCCTCACTAACCTGGTAGTTGGCTAGGTTTCCAGTAACAGACACAATTTCCTTCTTGTTGGGTGAGCATAAGTCTGAGTTGTGAGTTATTGTTCATGCCACTATTACACTTTTTGTAATACACAGTTGCTGATTGTTGTTGTCCTCTATAGGTGTCATCACTCTTGGCTACTTCCTTTCCTTGGAAGCTTGCATGCTACTTTTTCATTTGATTAAATTTAGACCTATGGGAATAAGCTTTGATGTTAGATCTATCTCAGATACCTAGGTTCTGTATCTAAAGCACATAGTTTCTTTACCAATACATACTTATTGTTTATAACTGGGGAGCAAGCAAGAACAATAAAAACAGCCTATAATGTTTGGGAAGTTTCTTGAACTCTCCTGTCCAACAACCCAGATAGGATCTCCTCATACTTGGTATTGGGGTTTTTGTTAGTCTATAGCTATTGGAGGAAGCATTATCAGCCCAGAAAAAAAAATTTTTTTCATTTAAACTACATATATGTATGTTTGTTCCCCTTCTCCTTCTGTACTGTCCTCCCTGATTTAAGTCCTTCTGTCTAGTTTTCCCATTTCCTCCTTCAAATCAATTGCCCCTTGTTAATCCTCTCTAATTTTCTTTCCACACCCTGGTCTCTTTTTACTTTTCTGGTTTCTGCAGTTGCTCCAGGTTTCATAGTCACCTCTGAAGACGTGTAGCTAGGAGCTTCAGATGTCAAAGAACATATGACATTTGTTTTCTGGGACTGTATTACTTACTTACTACATGTTTTCCTAATTCCATTCATTTACCTTCAAATTTTGCTATTTTTCTTTATAGCTGAATGTAATTCCACAGTCTATATGCACCATCCTTAGCCATCTGTTAGTTGACAGATCTTTAGATTGTCTATTGTGAATAGACTGGCAATGAGATGAGGCTCTCACATGGTAGCTCATACAGTCCTTTATCTATCAGGAATGTTCATGCCTCTGCCTCTCAGGTTCTATGATTATATGTGAGAGCCACCAAAACCAGTGTGTTCTAAATGGAGTTATAAGGGTAAAGGAGATGAATATTTGGATTTCTGAGTTGCTGGCTCCATCCTCATTAGAAGTTATATAGTTTTGATTTAAAATGTGGACCATGGCTCCCATGGAAAACCCTCCACACAATGTTGGATGCTTTTTCCTCCCATAGTGGTCTTCACAAATGACCTGTGCAGATGAGGATTTTATCAAAGCTGTGTATAATTTGGGGCCCAGCACTGTCACTACAAGTGCTATGAAAATGTGTGCCTTGCAGCTAATGCCATTCACCTATTTAGCACTGGTGATTCCCTTTCTGTCGCATGAGCCCAGCAGCCCTGAGATAATTGACATACGTCTATCCATTACTCTCCGATGCCCAACATTTTACAGATGCTGACCACGTCCTCATTTCAATAAGGAAGCACTCATACCAACCTAGCCCCTTATACCATTAAAATAGAGAAAAGCATAAACAAGAAAAATACCTTGAGATATCTTTAGTGGCACATAAGTTTAACGAATTGAAGAAGTACAATGAGGAGGTGCTAAGCTTTTTGCTTTTTTTCTTTTTTTTTACATACTTATTTTCTTAAGTGGGGTCATATAACTTCACTAATAGTAATAAAGCCTGTCTTAAAGATTTCAGCATAGAATTTGTACTTAAGAGTTATTTCACAGCCAATATTTTAGGCCTATCTTGATTTAAGTACACTTTTATTCCCAGCACAACTTGATGTGTTTGAACTAAATGAACAAATCTTTAATTAGTATTCATTTATTTATTTAACAAATTTTTATTGGATTGTATTCTGTCTCAGCATGGTTTATAATGGTAAAGCAAAGAATCCATGTAGTAACTTTTTTCCCCTTCTCTTATTTTACCAACTCACTCTGTTTCTCTCTATTCTGTCCTGTCTAGTCTGAAGTGTCCTGGATTCCCAACAAACATTATTCTGGGATTTATGGCCTGATGAAGCTGGTTTTGACCAAGACTCTACCTGCCAACCTAGAGAGAGTCATTGTCCTAGACACTGACATAACCTTTGCAACAGACATTGCAGAGCTGTGGGCCGTGTTCCATAAGTTCAAAGGTAGGAGCTAGCAAGACAACCATGCTGGCTTGTAAAAATGTATTTTATTTATTACCAGGGTGTGGTGTGGTGTGTGTCTGTCTGTCTGTGTGAGTGTCTTTACATATCTATGTGAGTTCATATGTTCACAGATGCATATACCATAGTATACATGTAAGTACAAATTTTGAGTCAGTTTGAATGACAAAGATTAAATTCAGGTGGCCAGGCTTTCAAGGAAAGCACTTTAATTAATTGAGCCATCATCTTAGCCAGTGTTTTTATTTTTAATGTGATCCTAGAGATTCAACTTAGAGCCAAGCAAGCATGTGCCAAGAAAGCATGCGACTACCCCACCCAGCATTACATCTGAGAAAGGACATGAGCCTAAGGAGAGTATTAATAAGAATTCACAAGTATAAAAGTTAAAGGTCTATAATAATTTCAGAAAAGTTAAAACTGAAAGTTGTATTTTTTTAGGAATTGAAGATATTGGATGCATGTTCATAGGAAAACCCATTTTAGGTGACTGCATACACAGTAAATAATCAGCTATATTTATTTTTATGCACATGATAAAAGTGTTGGTATACCTTTTTGTATGTGTATTTTGAAATTTATGTTCCTGTTATTAAAACTAAATTATCTTCTTATATAATAATATATCCTGATTACAGTTTCTCCTCCCTCTGCTCCTACCAATTTTTTTCCACCTGCCCTTCTCTCTAGATCCACCCCCTTTCTGTCTCTATTATAAAACAGGCTTCTAAAGAATAACAAAATAAAAATAATACAGTAAGATAAAACAAAAACTGACACATTAGAATAGGGTGATGCTGCCTTTAATCCCAGCATTTCAGAGGCAGAGGCAGGAGGATTTCTGAGTTCGAGGGTTCAAGGCTAGCCTGGTCTACAGAGTGAGTTCCAGGACAGCCCGGGCTATACAGAGAAACCCTGTCTCGAAAGATCAAAAAAAAAAAAAAAAAGAAAAAAAAAAGAATAGGATGATGCATGTGGAAAGCAAAGAACAAAAGAAAGGGCACAGACACACATACAAAAAGATACAGATGCAGAAGCCTAGTTGTTTACACACTCAGTAATTTCATGAAAACACAAAAATGAAAGCCATGATAATAAATTAAAATAAATAAAAAAGATAAAAACATAAACAAATGAATAAAAGCCCTGATGTTAGGCCTCCTATCTACCTCGCTGCTAGAGATGTTACTGCTACTCAGCAGAAGCAGATTGCAGTCAGCAATAGGGGTCTCCAAGGTGTCTTTCCCTGAGGAACCAGAAGGGATAAATTCCGAGGATCTCTGGTCCAGACTGAATGAAAGATTCTGCAGGACTCTGGTCTGACCAGAACAGCCAAAGTGTTCCAGCTTTTTGAAGGGAATCCCTTGCAGGGCATGTTTTTCCCACTACCTTAGCATTGCCAATACCAGTGGCAGCAGTAGTGGTGGCCAGCAGCAAGCAGCAGAGAACCACAGCTGGAGCTGCTAGGCAAGCAGGCAGCAGCAGCAGACAGCTAGGAGCCAAAGTGTGGACCATTAAGCAGGAAGTGACTGAGATCAAGCACTGGATTTATTTGGCTGGGTCAAGTTACAACATAGAATGCTTCAGGAGAGAAAACTTCCCCAGAGTGTTACAGCTCAACTAAACAGCCACTCTGTTCCTGGTGAAATAACTCATGACCTTCATTCCATTATGATAGGGACCTTATGAACATTTTGAGAGTAGGGTGGGACCCAGGGCTAAATGCTTTCCATTGGCTCAGTCTGAGATGTTAGGGATACTATAATTGCATGGGGAAGGACTTCAAGTGTTGTCTCTACATGACTAATTGTCAGGGCCCTCTCAATGAGGTGTCACAGTTACATGTTCCAGGAAAAGAAGAGCTTGGCATGGAGCTGTCTTCACACCCATGGTCCTCAATTCTAGAATTTCTCAGGATTTGGACTTGTGCTACTTTACAAGTCTTTCTGGTGGCACAGTCCACTTGTCCCACGCTTGGTACAATGTTATAAGGAAAGGAACTTTCATTGAGTTTTGTTTTGTTTTCTTTTGGCATGTAGCCTACCCTTAAGAGTAATTTGTTACCACAATGAAACTCCCTTAGAGAAAACAAAATTTTCATTTGCAAGTGGTTATCCACCAGGGATAGCTTCTGGTTTAGGGACAGGGCTAGTGTTCCCTTCTCCTTTCAGCTCTAGGACTCCATCTGTTGTAGACCCTGTGCAGGCTGTGTGCATGCTGCCTCAGTCTCCACAAGTTCATATGCGAGTCCATCCTATTGATTTAGTGGCTCTTGTTTCCTTGGTGTCTTCTATCCTCTTCTCTGGCTCTTACATTCTTTCCCCCTCCTCTTCCACAGTTTTTTTTTTTTTTTTTTTTTTTTTTTTTTTTTTTTGTGAGCCCTGAGGGGAAGAATTTGATAGAGAGATCCCATTTAGGGCTGATTGTTCCAAGGTTTCTCACTCTCTGCATTTCATTTCATTTCACCATGGATCTTTGTATTTGTTCTCATCCGCTACAGGAGGAATCTTCTCTGATAATGACTGAGTCAGCCCCTGATCTAATATAGCAGAATGTAATACTGTGTTCTTTTATTGAACAGTGGGATTTGATTTTACCCTCAGTCCCTGATCTGTCTAACTCTGGCTCTTGGACAACCAGGCAGCACCAGGTATGAGTTCCACCTCGTGGAGTATGTCTGAAATCAAATCACATATAAATTAGGTTGGTTATTCCCACTGTGCCACAATTACTCTAGTGTTGCTTGAAGGCAGGGCACTAGTATAGATTGAAGGATTTGTAGATGGGTTGGTGTTTACATTTCTCATTGGGTAGTATGCAGAGTTCCTTCTTGTACCAAAGATACTAGCTTGTTGGGTAGAAGGCTTTATGTAGTCACTAGCTCAGCCTCTTCATATTCAATGAGTTGTATACAATAGGCTCTGTCTGTAAGTTGTAGAGAACAACTTATATCTTGATAACAGCCTAGGTTGTTTGGGGGTTCTCATGGGACCCCTTTAACTAATATCTCAATTAGATGTAAGGCATTCTTGAAACTGAAGCTTCATTTGGTGGCAAGAGATGGCTGACTTTGTCTTCCTTAGTTCACTTCATGTATTTTAGGAAAGTTTTATTTTATTGGATTTCTACACTCCTCTTCTAACAATGCCTTTGACTTTTAGTATATCTTGCTACGTTCTCTCCCTCATACCTTCTTTCTCCAAACTTTACCTTTCAATTCCAGTTTCCAAGTGTTGATACATTTATGGAGAGAAGTACACTCAGCATCTATCTTTTTTTTAATCAAATAATGCTTTGATTGCCAAGAACAAGAAAGCTGTCATATTTATTATTTTAAGTATGTATGTATGTATGTATGTGTGTATGTGTGTATGTATGGCTGGATTTGTAACATTACTCTTCCTGTCTGATTTCTTTTTATTATTTTCATACATGTATGAGGTATATACACATGAATGTGCAGATAGGCACACCTGTGCATGCACATGTATAGTTTGATGCAAGACATCAGGTGTTTTCTATAATTTTCTACCTTATTGCTTTGAGATTAAGAGTTTGTTTATCTGGTTTGTTTTTGTTTTGGTTTTTTTTTTTTTGAGTGTTTTTTTTTTAAATGAAGTGTGATGATTCTGTTAGAATATCTGGCAGAAAGCTCTCAGCATGTGTTTCTATGCCCTTGAATGGTAAAGTACTGATATGTGCAGTTATGCCTGGTTTTTTATGTGGGTGCTGACAATTTAAACTTAAGTCCACATGCTTACAAAGCAGGTGTTCTTAACCACTGAACCATTTCCCCACACTCTCTTTTTATATGTTGTTTGAGCCATTATCATTTACCTCAAAGTATCTGAGGTTGAGTAAGGTCAAGTCAGGGGCCTGATATGTGTACTTGACTGGCATACATGAGAGAAATACTGCATTACCTAGAAGTTGATCTACTCTAATAGTACCTGTCTGAAGGTCTTCCTTAACATTACCTGTTTTTTTAAAGTTCTTTCACACTCTAGCCAAATGCAGAGAAATTTCTTTATTTCTTTTTTAGTTCTATTTCTTTTTGAGTTGCACTCTGGTTTCTATGTTTCAAATCTCTCTCTGCTTTGTCTCTTAACTGTTTGAAGGGTGAGCTTGTGGATTATGGTTTTAAATCACAGTATTCTCATTAATCATAGGATATTCCTATTCGATTCTTTTTCTACTCATGACAGAGAGTAGATTCCTTCTCTACCTTGCCACTGCCTCTACTTCCGGGGACCTTTATAGGTCTCTGCTAATTGAACAAAATGCTTGGCAAAGCATAACGACGACATAATGACCCCTGAGATGCTCCCTTATCAAGATAAAAATGGATTTATAGGAGTCAATAATGACACTAAGGAAAAGATCATTTGGCAGATTTGAGAAAGAAGAAAACATGCATATCAATCCTCCATCTTCTTCCCAGCCTGACAGGCTCTATCTTTCTACTTCCTGATTAAGCTTGAATGGGTACAAGGATTGGCTTAACACCAAACTCAGAAAAGGTATGCACCTTGGCTCTGGTCTATTTCTATTTTCAAATTCCACTGTCATTTTTGTTGGTTCTTCCTTTCAAAGCTATGATGAACTCATCTGGGGATAGTTTCTTTTTAATTTTGTGCAGTTTGATCTGTTATTTTATGCTGATGTTCAGTGTTTAATGATGCATTTATTCTGCAGGCATTATTGCATCCCTACTAGGTGCCAGGCAGTGTGCCTGGCTCTGGAAATAAGATAGTGAGTAATAAAGGGACAGTGAGACTTATCATGGGAAGAAGAGAAGTCATCTTCGAGAGTCTTGCAGAGAAATGGTAGCTGTGCTGTCTAATTGGATTGGAGGAACGCTTTTGAACCATGGAAGCCCACCACTTGTCATCTGGAAGACAAAACTTAGGGCTTCCACAGCTTAGACTCTGTGTAAAGAGAGCCAGGTCTTAGTTATCTCTGAGGACAGCCTGAATTGAAAA